AAAAAAAAAAAAAAAAAAAAAAGCATCTCAAGTTAAATAGATCTTAACCAGCAATTGAATTCAAGAGGGCAAGTGTTTTCTAATGAGTACTACATCTTACTCTTCAAAGACTAGTGATTATCTTGCAGAGTTTATTTCTCAAGTTGAGTTCACTTTGATGTTAAAACACACTTGCAGTACATATCTACATGTATATCTAGTTATTTTTTTATCTATTATGTCTTTTCTGATTGAGGATCTTAAAACTCCAGGAAATTGGAAGTGTGTTCTGGCTCCCCTTACACAGGGATGAGATGGGGAGAGATAGGGGGAGAAAATTTCTCTTTCTTTTTTTTTTTTTTTTTTCATCTTAAGCAGCTCCACAGGGGTAGAGCTTTTAAGAATTCGGTAGAGGATTTAGCAACACATCATGCACATCTGAATCTTGAATTGGATGCAAGAGCCTTACACAAACACATGCAAATCCATGTGAGGTTAGTATAACCAAAAAGAATGTGCTAGGGCACTGTCCCCTACCTGTTGAAGAGAACTCACGTTGTTCTACCCTGGAATTCCTCAAAACACACATGGAGATGACCCATCCTTCTCTATCATCCGAAAGAAGGCTGATGGTATCCAGCTCATGAAGTATAACTACCCCAAGGTAGTAAGGTAAGCCATGAGGCAGGCTATGGCAGAAGCACTCCTTTAAGCAGTGGAACTCAGGGGCTGCATATGCTTTATTGCTGCAAATAGCAGTGACTGGTGTGTGTGCAGGTACATGTTCGTGTGAGGTAGGTTTTAGGATTTGGGGTTTTTTGGTTCTTGCATCCATGAAACCAAGGATCAAGAAATGGAAACAAAACAGATGCATAAATAGCACCTCTTCTGTTTGTTTGTTCTTCAGGAAAATAAAGGAAAGTTTGGAGTGCTTTCCAGTTAAACTCAATAACTTGATCCACACGCTTGTACAGATGTCAGTGACAGGCTCTGCAAAGCCTCCAGCTCCAGAGACTGTCCCCCAAGAATGGATGATGCTGGATGCAGAGAAGTCAATTGCAAGAGCCACTATTTTGGGGTTCAACAAAAAGCCTGACTCCGTATGTATTATGTTCTTTGCTTGCCCTCATTTGCCTTGATCTTTAACGATTCTTCTGTGAGCTTATATACTCTCCCTCCTCCTTTATAGAAGATGTGCTTGTGCTACATTAAAAGAATCACAGGATGAACAGCAGTGCCATAAGCAATGAGCTACCCGAGAGAAAGAACACCAGGCAGACAGCTATTAGCAGGGAGCCATTAAGGAGAACAGTTCATGCCCTATAGTGAAAAATAAATCAAGAGCTAATTAAAGCATCCAGAAGGAAAGCATGGCACAAAATTAGGAAGCCTAATAGAAATTGGAGGCTGTTATATGATGCTTTAATGGTGCGTTATTAGTTTTCACACACTGCAGTGATCTTTCAGTGTTTGAGTTGTATGCTATCCAGGCAAGTTTCTCTTTCTGTGCAGCAAAGACTGTAAATTACAAACTGAATTCACTGGCACTTGGCACTACATTAAAGAAAGGTTCTTCTTTGTTAAAATCACCCTATATTTTCCCTTGTACATTTTTTTTTAATGTGCCTCTCTGATTATTTCTCTTTTCTGCCTTTTCTCCCAATACAGCTCTATCTAGTCCAGGTGGTGCAAACCTGCAATGTGGTCACTTTTGTGGAAAAATCATTTGACCAGTTCTCAAAACTTCACAGCCATCTCCAGAAGCAATTCCCTTCACACGCCCTCCCAGAGTAAGGCAGCATATTAGCGAATGTTATTCTGCTGTTAAATGGTTCTCTCTGTGCACAGATAAAAATGCAAGAAAACGTACGGCAGACATATTTTTAGAAACGCAAAGGCAATGCGACATATTCTGTCAAGCCTTCTATTCAGCCCTAGAAGGAACTGAATCATAGAGCATTGTGACAGTCTAACTTTTATGTATTTTATTGTTCCTTTTTTAATGGGAGAAAGGGGGAACAACTTGGGCCTGACACAGCTATTCCTGAAATCAAAGGATAAGTGGTATTGACTTTATTAAAGGCTCGATAGGGCCTTTAGTAGTTTGTATTTTCTGCATGATGCTGATCAAAACTCATAGCAAAATCCGTATATTAAAGCAATGTAGAAATGTTCACACTGGGTCAGAAGAGCAACAAGCCATTCTCTGACACTGGCAGGAGTGATCAACCTTTTTACAAAAAAGTGCATATACTCCCCAACTGAGAAATATGGAATAAACTTAGGTACTATCCTGGCCTGAAAACATGATAGTTTGTGCCTTGCATAGTTCAGTTTAGTATCTCTTGAAAAATATGCTATCATTACTTGCCATAATTCTGAATATTACTTTTTATCCATGTGCACGTCTATTCCTGCTTTTCACATTCCGAATCTCATTTCTTCATAGTTTCCCGGGACAGTGAGTCCTATGGTTTATTTCTATCTTATCTAAAACAGCTTTGCCTTATGTAATGATTGTCCATGGCTTTGCTAATACAAGTGGGGTTACGTATTCTACAAATATCACATACGTTATACTGCATACACCATTGAGAACAAATTACTTCTCCCTTAAACAGTCATGCTGACTCATCTGATAGAAGCCTTTCTTGAAGCTCAGTCTACAATAAAGCATAAAGCTGGCCAAAAAGACAAGCAGTTTGCTTGAACCAAGATGAGATTCAAGTGATATGCTTGAAAAATAGGAAGGTCTTTGATGTTTCACCTGAGGTAAATAGCCATAAACAACATGGTTTTGACTTAAAAAATAAAGTCTTAAAATCTTAAAAAAAAATCAGATCAAAATTTGATATTACCCCAAGCTTGCGATAGGCATTCAGTTAAATGGCTTTAGGTTAGTTAATTCTACAGAATCTTTCTCCTACCTGAGGGGATTTTAATTGACTCCAGTTTAACTCATTATGACTGGCTTACACGAACTGGTTTGCACCAGTTGGTGAGAATCAGGATTTCACTAAACACTGAATGTTCTTGAATCATGATTTTGATTTGGAGATATTTGTGTGCTAACTATTAGGTTGTAAAATAAATTATTTAACAAGTACCTGTTTATGTTTTTTTCCTGTGGTGAGCACAGCCCTTTGAAGGAAAATATATTTCTCTTTAGAAATACATAGACCTCAGAAACTCTGTAGTGAATTTCAAAAATAGCACTAGCCATTTTTTCAGATAAATCTAGCTTTAATAAAATCCCTCACAATATTTTCGCTGCAAAAGAGAGTTCCAGGACTCACAGAGGGTTAATCTGCCTATACTGAGGCTGTGTCTAAGAGCTCCAGAGCTTTATTGTCATAATTCAGTCCCAGCAGGAACCTGTCACTGTATGATCTTTCCCCAAGACTATGTTAAAGTAATTAATTTTGTGATGTTTCTTTATATGTATGTTCTTTCATGCTAAAGTTTTAGTCTGTTTTCTAACAGAACTTTGTCAGTTTGAGGTTTTTAATGTATTCCAGACTTTATGCTAATAATGGAAACCTAATTATTTCTTTATAGGAAGTTATCACTGAAACTTCCATTCCATATCAGACCATTAGTCTGTCTGTGTGTTACAAAGCTCCAACTCTGGCTGATGCCAGATGCTTCAAAGGAAGGAAAAAGCCTTGTTCCATAATGTAACCACAACATTAGTTTGAAAATGTATGATTTAAAAGTAAAATGTCTAATATTGCTAGAATAATTGGAACTGCTATTGGAAAGGACTGGGTTACTGCTTTGTATTGATTCATGAGCTTGTACATATTCATGTCTCATTAGGAGGAAATAATGCAATATGAATCTGCTTCATAGAAGTGCTAAATACTGGCTATATCACAAGAAACTAATGGCAAAAGCTCAAAATTCTCAGCATCTGAAATTTTGCTGTTGATGCATAAACATTCAGCCCATATTTATGAATCAAAGCACAGCTGCCCCAAGCAAACCCTTGCACTCCAGCACCTTCCCTCTTATTTGGTTTCAGACAGAGTATTAATTGTGTTTAATTATTGCTTTTTTAAAAGGTCAAAAATCTTTTCACCCAACAAAGGATTTAAGTGGCATAATTTATACACTGAATGTTCTTCAAGTTAATAGGCAGGAAATAGAACTGCTGTCCAGGATGTCTGCGTGTGGCACAAGTTTATGTTTTTATGTTCTGCTTAAGGTAGATGCAAATCAGCTTGGGAAGTTAACTTTTTCTAACAGAAGTGTGCACTTCCCAAATGCAAGGTCAGTTTCAGCCATAGGCGCAATTCAGCAAAAGCCTGAAGGCCTTTTAAAGAAGTATTCAGTACTGTCACAAGGTTCCTATTGTCCTTCACTGCAGCAGAGTTATTGGTGCTATCAATCAGCAGCTTCTCTGTTTGGCCACTGTGCTTAGGATGCATCTTCTGAGGGCCTACAATTTAAATCCAGAGTCCTGTCTTTGTGTTATACAGTCTAAGTAATTTCAAGCTGCTTCCAAACAGATCCTCCCTGCCATCTCTTGAAAGAAGTCCTTTCTGTGCCCCAGAGGAACCCAGAACATACACAGGCTATCTATGTGTGCCAAATGACCCGGGCTCTATTTTTATCTGTACAGCTCATATATGTCATAATCCTGGGTCATATCACTTCCCCACCTCATTATGTGTCCTGCTGCTGCAATTTCGTGAGGCAAGAATCGCCTCTTACTATTCATTTCTACAGCGCCTGATTGAGCCCTGATCTTTCAGCACTATAGGCAAAAGTAATCAAAAGGTCATACGTACATGCGATATGCTGCTATCGTCCTGGCCCCTTGCTGTTTTAATTGCAGACTAAGTTATACCAGTGCTGAGTTCTTCCTCACAGTATTACACAGCTGCCTTTCAAAGGGCCGGCCAAATGTCTCTTTTCAGAGTATTGCACTGCTAGATGGCTCTTTAGTCATTTGTGGGAAGCCTTGAGATATCTCTTGGGATCTCGTGGATAAACAAGGTTGTACCAGAAAAAAGAGGTTTGTAAACAAGACACAGTTAACTATTTACAGTGGTGGTATAACATGAAATACAACCAGATCAAAACGTCTGCCTCTCTATATCACATAGATTAGAGGACATAAAGCATAATACTAGTTGTGAATCCCAATATTAGCAATCCATATCACAAAACCCATTATATGCAATTTGGCACAGATAGCTTTTCTAATGTTCTTTCAACCTGAGAGGGAAACAGTCCTTGTCAGGGCAAGGTTAATATAAATTGATTATGTGTATTGTTAAAAATCTAACCTTTTGACTGATCTAATGTGCGTTGTCTCTAAAATGCAAAGATGACTCAAGTAAAAAAAATGTGAGGTTTTGACATTTTGCATTACCAAAGCATTTGAAAATTGACATAAGGCCATTCTGTGCATATGTGGTTTATTTACTAAAGTGAAACAAATTTCATCTTAATAAAAATTCAGCAAGAACATTACTATTATTCTTGGTTTAGTTTTGTTTGGATTGATTTTGTTATTGTGATGAACATTTGTTTTCATATATTACTTTTATTATACTAGCACCTGAAATTACATATGGGATCAGGGACCTGCTCTGAAAAACTTACCTACTGTCTAAATAGCTGAGGTAAAAAATGTGACATAAAATTAATTCATAAAATGTCACATTGTTGCTGTAAGGCTTTGGTATTCAGTGTTCCATGGTAAGGGGTTTTATAGCGTGACCCTGGGCTGAGATCAGAGATCAGTTGTTCTGTGCAGTGTAAAAAATGGGGTGGCTAGTGTTTTTCTGGGATCATGAAAAGCCAGTTTTTTAGAGGTATTTAGATGCCACAAAATGCAAATAAGTGTCTTTTAGCCTTTTTTAATTTGTTTTCTTAATTAATGATTTAAACAGAAAAAACTGTACACTATGAAACAGAGTATCAGCAAATGATTAGAAAAAACAGAGTCAGAGGGTAAACAATCCTCTGGCCACTGTTCCCATTCCTTCCCCTACCTGCAAAACATCTTAGAAAATGCTAAATTTCTTCTATTAAGTAAAGCTGGAAATATTTTTAGCAAATACAGTAGGAGAGTTATACTTACGAATATTCTTCTTTTTCAGGTTTCCCCACTCATGGCATTTACCTTTTACAGATCTTGAACATAAAAGAGTGAAGGATCTGAATTTCTATCTGAAGCAGCTATTAAGTGGATCCAGGAAACTGGCTAATGTGAGCACTTCTAGTATTTATTTTATTTGCATATGACTTTTAGTAGCATTGTACCAAAAGATTAAAAAAGCTTTCTGTGGCCTCATTTGGGAAAAAAAAAAAAAAAAATATATATATATATATATATATATGACACGTCTTCTAATGCAGCCATTTTAAGATGGAGCCATTGTAGCATTCATTAGAACTTAAGACAAAGACAAGAATAACTGAAAAATTGTTTATTAGACCTTGCAGGGCATTTTTCAAAAATCTTCTCTTCCTTTGCTGCCATGCGAAAGTAGTGATTCACCGAATTTTTGACAGTAAGGAGTAGGTTCTGAGGAATGTAATGTCTAAAAAAGGAGTAAGTTTTGAAATATTGAGAAGTCTGATTTTGACAGTTTTTAAATTAAAAGTTCCATTCTTTCAGCCCAGAAATACCCTCCATTTCAAGATTTAGTTAACATGTAGAAGAAATTGTTTTGCAAACGTAAGACCAAAACCAGAATGTTTCAATGTTATCAGTGATACATTGTGTCTATTAAAATTGGCGTATTCATTATTGTTTTCTGAGATTTGATGTTCTCCTCCTGTTTCAAAATGGAAAATTGAAATGGTAACAAACACTGACTTTTTGTTGTCTGTCCCCGAACAAAGCCTTATGCACCTCAGTATTGTAAAAGCCGGGGCCAAGAGCAACTGACGGGCCCCATGCACCCCGGGAGGATGTTAAATCATTACTCTGCGTCACTGCGGAAGTTGAATGGTCAGTTACTGTCAGTGACACCAGGGTCTGAAAGGAGCATCTACAAGTGACCAGCCATTGTCAGGAAAGCTGTCAGACAGGCAGGAAAAAACAGTGTTTTATGTTAGATTCTAGGCTTATGTAGAGGCTAGTAAATTCAGGGGAGCCAAGGCACGAGCTCGTGTGTTGACCCTGCTGTTTCACTCTTGGCACATTTTCTAGCAGAGCTTGGGCCTCTGCCAGGTGAGATGTGTCATGTCCCGTGGCCTCAGGGCATTGCACAAACTGGGGCTGGTTCGGTTTAATAGTGTAGACAGTCTAGGATGCCAAAGAGAGTATGACAGGATGTTTTTTCTCTAAAATTTCAGACATCTTGAAGGAGGAGAAAAGTGCTGCCTAACTATTTAACTTTCCCAGCTGTGACTGTGTAATAGAGATTAAAGAGGAAATTGTCCATATGTAAAACAAATAGACGTTTTCTTATTAATACGAATATAAATTCTGTGCCCTGAGTTGAAATTGAGAAGATTTCCAAAGAGGATAGACAAAATCTGTCTCACAGAGTTACATTTAATTTGGTATTGACAGCTGACTTGGGTATTTGGCTCCCTTCACTGACCTTGCCGAATAAACTGCAAAAGTTGGGGTTAGTTGTTGTGCGATTTCTGCCACTCACATTAGGGTCATGGGTTTATTTTACATTAGCGCCTTTTGGTCACAGCTGAGGAAAAACTGATGTAAGCCAGTGACCTAGAAATGAAGAGCTCTGTATCTTCTGCTGTGCTCTGGGCTGCTGTAAGGTACATGGATTTTCAATTTGGGCCAAGCACTGCTGTGTAGAAGCCTAATCTAAGGTTGAAAAATTAGATTGCTTAAAGCCCTGGGATAGCAATAAAAACATTTCCTGGTCAGGCACAGAAGCTCTCTTCACTGTCCTGCTCCATGGTCTGTGAACGGGCTAGTAATCAGCCAGCACATGCTTCCTTGCAATGGGCTTCCTAATGCCTTTTCTCCTCCCTTTATGGTCCCGCAGCACAGACCCGTGGAGCTGGGTGAGTTCTCCCAGGCTCTTGCTGCTGGAACACAGGGACACAACCACGAATAGGGTATTCAGAGGGAACTGTGGACAGATCGGCTTGGGGACATAGGCTGGTGTGTCTCTGAACCATCCCAGTGGGGCTATTCAGACATGCTGGACTACGCAGTTGCTGAAAAACCGTTCCAGTCTAGTACAGTCTATAGTGCTGAAATATGAGGAGAAGCAAACAATTTTGTGCCTAAGAGGCCCGCACAGCTACTGGTGTGCTGGACTTAGAGGGCATGATAATAAATGGAGTAATGAGCAGATTGTTTCCATCTGTAAAGTGCTATTGCATGCGGGAAATCATCTTGCTTACCATCATGCAGGTAACCTGCAATTCTAGATGATAACCGTTAAAGTTATTGATAGTCTATAATCATTGAATCATTATTTTTACTTCAATATGCTTCTCCTGCTGGGAGATGTGAAAAATTTAGAAAATACTGACGTGTTCTGACCCACTTAGAACAAGGAGACCAGTCAGTGGGTAATTTCCTTTGTATTCCCAGCTGAAGGCTTCTTTTTTACTTTTCCCTTTGGTATGACTTTTTTAGAAGTGTCATGGTGTTGTTTTGGTTTTACTCTGAGCAGAAAGGCAAGCTAGGAGGCTTTCTTGATAAAAATAAATACAATTATTTTGTCTCTCTTCATGCCTTGGACAACTTTGCTGTCAAATTTGTCCTTTTTCTCAAATTTATAGGGAGCCTGACGGAAACCACTTAGTGAGTGGTCTGTTCTCAAGCATTACCAAACTGTCATTCCTATGAAATAGTAAAACTGTGTAGGAATAAATAATTAATTCAGAAATTTGTGAAGAAATCTTTTAAGAGCAGAAGCCTGTAAAACAGGCTTCCCTTTACTTTCTTAACACAGTCATTTCTTTCTGCTGAATTGTATCTGTATGGTATTGTAGCTGTGTTGTAGATGTACAGTATGCTGGAGTATTGTCTGAGATGGAGAGAAAAGCTTTTATTTTGTTATAAAATACCTTTGCTATCACTGTAAACACATCACCCTGATTGCCTAGACACCATTTTCAGCTCTGAAGAGTTTAGTCCAGTCCACATAGGCCTGACTACACCCTTGGTTCTACCAATTAAGCAGTTAAAAATCCTAGAAATAAAGAAAGAATTGGATTATATAGAAATTCCTTCCTCAGTCATGCCTTAAGTGCATGCTTTTTAGTCCAGACAAAGTTCTGGTTATGAAAATTGCATTATAATTAAGAGTAGGTCAGAATGTCACTGACCTTTTCTGCTAAATGGTTTGAACAAAAGAGGAGAGGTAGAAAATAGCTGCTTCTCATTTGCACTGTAGTTCAAATGGAATTAAATGTTTCTTTAAACCCTTCTTTAAAGAATAGAAACTTCAAGCCACTTTTCTCTATCTGAATTTCAGTATTAGATCCAAGAAATGCAGAAACATCAGCTGATGGAGATATTTGCTGGTGGGCCAGTTTAAATAGAATCATAGAGTCATAGAATAGTTTGGGCTGGAAGGGACCTTTAAAGGTCATCTAGTCCAACCCCCCTGCAGTGAGCAGGGACATCTTTAGCTGGATCAGGTTGCCCAGAGCCTCGTCCAATCTGACCTTGAATGTTTCCAGGGATGGGGCTTCTCTCACCTCTCTGGACAACCTGTTCCAGTGTTTCAGCACCTTCATCGTGAAAAATTTCTTCCTTATATCTAGTCTGAAACTACGCTCCTTTAGTTTAAAACAATTACTCCTTGTCCTATCGCAACAGGCCCTGTTGGAAAGACTGCCCACATCTTTCTTATAGGCTCCCTTTAAGTACTGGAAGACCACAACGAGGTCTTCCCCAGAGCCTTCTCTTCTCCAGGCTGAACAACCCCAACTCTCTCAGCCTGTCCTCATAGGAGAGGTGCTTTAGCCCCCTGATCATTTTTGTGGCACTCCTCCAGATTTGCTCCAGCAGATCCATGCCTTTCTTGTACTGAGGACTTCAGATCTGAACACAGTACTCCACGTGGGGTCACACCAGAGTAGAGTAGAGGGAGAGGATCACCTCCCTCGACCTGCTGGCCACTCTTTTTTTGATGCAGCCCAGGATATGGTTGGCCTACTGGGCTGCGAGTGCATATTGCTGGCTCGTGTCCAGATTTTTGTCCACTGGTATCTCCAAGTCCTTCTCAGCAGGGCTGTTCTCAGCCCCTTCATCCCCCAGCCTGTACTGATACTAGGGATTGCTCTGACCCAGGTGCAGGACCTTGCACTTGGCCTTGTTGAACCTCATGAGGTTCACACAGGCCCCCTTCTCAGGCTTGTCCAGGTCCCTCTGAATGGCATCCTGTCCATCAAGTGTGTCAGCAGCACCACTCAGCTTGGTGTCATCTGCAAACTTGCTGAGGGTGCACCGATGAAGATATTAAACAGCACTCGTCCCAGTATGGACCCCTGAGGTTCACCACTTGTCACCGATCTCCATCTGGATGTTGAGCCATTGACCAATACCCTCTGGCTGCGACCATCCAACCAACTACTCACCCACCAAACAGTCCACCCATCAAATCCATGTCTCACCGATTTAGAGAGAAGGATGTTGTGGGGGACAGTGTCAAATGCTTAGACATGCTCATGCCTGTCCCTGTTCAAAGCAGGTTTTTAAGTCTGTGGTTTACTTTGAGCATAAGCCTCATTTGTTGACTGTCTTAGGCATTTGTTGAAGAGTTGGCTAGAATAGGAATGCTTTTCCTAAATGCAGATTAACACTCAGTTATAAATAACTACACCGCCAGACCATGTACATGAGCAACAACCTATATTCATTACAATAGTCACTAAAATGTGAAAGTTGATGCACCTTCATTGTCATATTCGGTCATTTAGGACAAGATCAACAACAGATTTCAGCACCTTTTTTAGTTTCATTCTACTCTTTCCAAACCAGTGGCAATACATGTGATCACACCATAAGAATGTTTAGCTTGGTGCCAGTTGCACCATTGCTGACTGGCTTATCAGCTGCATGCATTGAACTGCCTAGGTCTTCTAGATCAGCAAGACAACATACTCAACAATGTTTAGACACCTAGAGTTGCTTCATTAAATGGCAAAACAACCAAGTGGTGCCACCAATAACAGGTGAAGCATCAAGAAACAATAAATTGAAGGTTGGTGACATGGAGGAGGACAAAAATATACATTATCAAAGTATAAATCAAATCTGTGACAAAAGGCAGCTGCTGCTGTCTGCTTTTACATTTTTATCTCTTTCACTCTTAACTTCAACTGAGTGCTGGGCTGAAATGGAGATTGCAGCCCAGATCTCATAACATATCATATAAATTAGGGCTGCCCTAGTGGCTTGTCATTTTACTACTATATTGTAGGAGGGCTGTGCACTCCCTGGGGACAGAAAAGCAAGGTAAGACCCCATTAATTTAGTCTTCTCTCGGCCCTGGCATCAAACAGCAGCATTCACAAAGCTGAATATCTTCATGCTTATGCGTAAAAGGGCTTTAAAGAGAATGTAAATAGAAATGATTGTAAATTACATTCACTCATTTTCAAGCATACAGTGAAAACCAGGACCACAACGTTGTTCTATAGTGACTAATGTTTTACCCTATAAAATAATCAAGTTTGATAAGAGCTTCCCATATTTCATTTGTATTTTATTCACTGGCACTACTTGGGATTTGCAGAGATGAGAAAATAGCTCCTGCAGTGCCATATGGAGATACATAACAAGGTGGTACAAAGTGCACACAAGGTATGTGGGTCCCTTAAACTCCCACCACTCCCATACTCCTGCAGTAAGACATCCAGCAGAGCCAAAATGGGGAGGGTTCAAAGTCCTCTCTTTTCTGCTGTCCTTTCCTGATGTTTTAATAGCTGCAGCAAGGTCAGCTTTTCCTGGTTTCTTTCTTTCCTTCCTGCTGATTCTCTGTCCTGTTAAAGTATAACAGGTGCATGGGTGTTCTCTGACCCCAAATCTACTCTAACACAGCTGAAAAGAAAGCTGAAAGCAGAGGGGAGGCTGCTTTTATTTCTAACAAAATTAAATCTGGCTGTGTTTCTCTAACAGCAGAGTGCTTTTCTAGTTAGTCTCTGATGCAGAGCAGTAGACAAATTCTACCATGCTACAGTGGTGCAGGGCTGTACCAGCTCCCCTGTTACCACTGAAATGGTTTATTTCAGTTGTACCCTAGTGTAAGTGAAGATGGATTTTGTCCCTTTTGAGTTTAATGGCTGAAAAAAAAGGTCATATGTGAGTTCTAGCCACACCAACACAGATGCACCCATACATACCTGGTTGCTCCCTAATAGGTTAATGATATTGAGTGACCTGGAGAAATATCAACATTACATGTTAAAGATTGTTGTCTTGTGAGGTAAGAATGATTAGACAAATGATAGGAGGCTTTCCTAAAAATCCCTAAGAGGGCAGTATTTTGAGGAATTTCCATTTGCCAATTTAAAGGTAAGAATTCAAGGAGAAAAACGGTAGTTGAGCGCTTGTAGTCATCCTCAGTGCCTGCCTATCTGCCAAGACTGCCACAGGTTCTCTAAGATTCCCATCTATGGTCACATCTTTGTCACAGCAATTGCTTGTTTAGAAGTGGACTCTATCCGCCTAAATACAGTGTGCTTTTGATCATATATACGTTCAAAGCTCTGATGTGCCTGTTTCTATTTGGCAGTGTAATTAAATGCATGCTTAACTCTAAGCATGCACTTCAGTCCCATTGACTAGGGTCCAACTGATTGAAGTCCCATTGATTTAGGAATCACCTGAAAGTTCAGCGTATGCTTTGCTCTGCTGACAGAGGGTGAACTTAAGAAGGTACTTATACACCTCGCTGGTGGAAGTCTAAATGGTGGGCTCCTGCAGCAGGCAGATTAACACAGTTCAGGGAGAAATTGCTCTTATGAATAACAGTGTGCAGAATGCTTATTGCCACAAAGATGTAGATCTCCCACATTGCTTTTGAAGCACTTTGCCCTGGATAGACTGCTACATGTGCCCCTGCAACGTGACGTGCTCAATTATGGTTTTGTGTTCCATTTACCAACGTTAGCCTTGCTGCTTCCCCGCATGCTCCAATACCTGTTGAGTACAACACATACACACACAGGGCAAGCTTTGAAATCAGTGCTGTGGCACCAGCAGTGTACATGCCTGTCATGTTCATGCCTGATGTAAGATCTGCATGAATTCCACTTCTGTGCTTAAAACCAGGTGCCATTTTTTTTCAGAGTTTTGTCTCCTTTAGAAATGAGAATCTGGAACTATCACCTGAAACAATCTTTGCACCTCCTGTTTACAAATGTCTCTGTTCATATATTTCCATTTATTGCTGAAAGAGTAAGCGGAGAGGAAGCAGAGCACCAGGCTGCTCAGTGTGCAATTTTTTATTTCTCTTTCAAGTCAGTTAGTGTGTTCTTCCCTCCACCTCCTGCCCACTTCTCCAAGATCTTTGAATTCGAAGGCTACCCAAGTTTCTCTGCTTATTTTCATGCTGTCAAATATCGACTGAGCTGCCAAAAACATACTCTTTCAACCCTTGAGATTTCCTCCACTTGGGACTTGTGCTGAAAGAGCAAATGGAGGCCCTACAGGGAATAACTTGGCTGTTTAAAGCTACTGGAAGCTGAAGCAGGTGTGTGGGTTTTCCTCTGTAAGCTGTCTTCATGAGATGAGAGAATAATTAGTCATGCTCAGAACAAATAGGTATATTGTCAGTCCACTACGAATACTTTAAGGATTTGTCACTCAATTCAAGGAAAACGACTCTGTTAGTTTATCTTTTTTTTTTTTTTTCCCATGATTTTTCTTTTAAAGAAAATATCAGTGTGGGAGGAAAAACTCCAAACAGTAGAATGAAAAATAAAAGGCAACTGCTAAAATAAATCTTATCTCTATGCTGAACATAACACATCTTGTTCCTATGTCTGCTGTAACCACGTTAACTCCTCAGTAGCTGTGTTTGTCACTAAACTCTTCCTTTTTTTTCTTGCACAAATCATGCCACATCAAAACAAGACAAATGCTACATGAAGTACATCTTGCTGATAAGAGACACATTATTTTCCATGGCCTGGAAGAAAACAATGGTGACATTTTAATGCTAGAATCTGAAAAGTCTCTTGTTCTACCCATTCATTATAGTGTCAGCCCAAGTAACATCAGTATGAATGTTGCAATTCTAACCATCTTAAAGAATGGCCATTCTGAAATACAGCTTTATGAAAAAAGCTAATAAAATGCAATTACTTTCCTCCTTTGATTCAGAATCGTAAGAGTCCATTTCAGAAATCACATTTTTATTGCCTTGCACAATACTCAAATCTGGGGATTTAGTTTATTGTTTTAATTCTCTACAGCTGGATGTAACTACCTGTTATATATGTTCACTAGAGCAGTATAGGTCAGTACATAAAAATAAAAGTTACAGTGCAGTATGTAAGGTGGATTACTCTTTTAAACAGGATGGTGAAATATGATCATCCTTTTCACTCCCCATTGGTTTCTGGTAGGAGTTAACTCTGTATGGAGCTTTTCAGTGTGAGTGTCCATTAAGCTGCCGTGTGAGGGAGGTATGCACAATATCTAAGCCTCAGGGAGGCACACATTAGGTCAGATACTTGGGGTCGGTCCTGTGCCAAGGGCAAATTTCATGCCGACTACACAATGCACAGTAAAGATGTTCTCCTGCATTTGTTTCACAGATGGGCTGCTCTGTAAAAGTAGTTGCAGCTGCTAGTACATATCTCGAGACACTGGAGATCAAGCAAGACTGCAAATCTGTGGCCCATGTGGCACATTGCTGTTTGGAAGTGTGTTGGCAGAAGAGGGCCAGATAGGCACCAGTGCAGCATCCCCGAGCCAGTGGTAAGGGGAACCACTGTCTTCCTAGTGCATGTGTAGAAATCATTCCCTGAGATCCTTGCCTATGATCAGAGGGGAAAATCTCCCCTTTATCGCTAACTCCAATATACACATTCAAAGCCTACCAGCAGTCTGCTCAGAGGGGAATAATTCAAGGAACAGAGTACAACCTATGAAATTCCCTAAAATATTTTATTTTCTTTCAGAATGAGCTCGTACTCAGCTTCTTCCTGAATTGGGGCAAAAACAGCTTGGCGGAAGATTCATCTTCTGTGACCTTAGGTATGTGGACTACCAATATTTTTTGTTTTCTAAGAAGGACTTCTTTAATAATATTAAATATAATAAAGCAAAGTTGAGTTTAGAGCATTTAGGTGCCTTTTTTTGAAGATATAAAAATATCAACAAGTAATTCCTGATTTCTCAAGGTCTCTGAAAATATATTAGTAATGTGACCTGTAGTTTCCTTTCACTTTGACATATTCTCCTCAGCCTTGCTTCATCTCTTTTTGAATAAACATACCTATATGCAAAGTAAAAGTTTATTTACACAAACTGAGGCAAGTTTCTTGGTTTACATAACAATATCTTTAGAGAAGAATTTGGAGGAAAGTGTCTGAATCATGACAAAGCACAATGTGTGTTTGGACGAGCGAAGAAAATTAGCGATGGCTTCTAAAGTCATTTCACAATGAGTGGTGCAGGTAAATAACAGAACATTATGTTAATGCCTAGGCATACATTATTAATGATAGTGGTAATTCACTTGTTACAAAATGAGATTCCGCACTGTTCCCTTAGCCTATCTAAATACTTAACCCATTTCCCTCTTCTGTCCAGCACCTAATTTAATCTAATCTCTGGCATTACAGCATTAAGAGCCAAAGCGTAAACCATAAAATGTAAACTGTGAATGTTTATTGTTTTCTACTGCACTAGTTCTGCACCGAAAATTATCTCCCATAGTCAGTTTTTAGGTAAAATAAAAATCTCATAAAGAAGCCTGCAGCTGCACTCTGCACCACAACAATTCAGCTGGTTATGTGCTCTGAGTGATAGGATAGTTTCCAAGATTGTTAGTTATCCACATTTCAGAAAGGAGTGCAAGTATCTCTGTGTATTTAGTTTGCATGTCCATTAAGTTAATTTAATCTCTCTGCAGACAGGGGCTTCATTATCTCTTTTGCTGGCACCGTTTTTTTTAATCCATCAGAACAAAATAAATCTCATTCCAGCTTCTCAGCCTTTGGAAGATTCCCCCTGTGTAGAGTTTATTTCATTAGGGCATGCCATTATCATATTAAATCCATTATGACTATTGGAAATTACTAATGGTTTCTCTAACTTCTACAAAGGAATGAGGAGATAATGCAAAGATGTCCTAGGTGTTAGGAATATACAAGGCTAAATCTTGCCACAGAAAGTCCAAATCAGAGTTCAAATGTCATGGGCTGCCTCTCTCTCTGTAGACTCTTTAACAAAAGATGTGAGAGTGAGCTGAGGCATAAGGGAGTTAAAATCCCACGTCTTTAGAAGGATTTTGACATTTCACTAATATTTAGGTGCCTAATTATTACAGAGAATCTGGGTGTAAAAATCTTATGCAAAAGCATGAACTGAGTCTGTAATAAAGTTGAGAAATAAATTACAGCCTCATAAATCCTACAGTGTTGTCCTGAACCAATATAGTCTGAAGGGTAAGCCCTTTATTTTTGTTTCAATGACTTCAAAATCAGAGAAGAGAATAAAGAAGCAAGTAAGAATGTGTTTAGTGGGTATTTGATGAAAGCTATGTGACAGGTAACCCAATCTACTGGTTCACTATACAGTTAGTGGAGCTGAAGGTCACAACCTGGTCAGGAGGAGTTTAATGTGTCTCTGGCCTCAAGCAGTATGGTTACAGAGGGATTTTTTTTTTTTTTTCCTGCTCAGGAACTCTGCCTTTTAAAGTTTGGACACTTCAGTTCTAGACTCAGGGAAAAACTTTATTTAACATAGGAGGAAAAAAAAAACAAAAAAAAACCAAAAAAACCCCCCCCCAAAAAAAAACCAAACCAAAACAAACCAAAACAAACCCAAAGAAACCCACTTCCCTTTGGCCTAGAAAATTCATCACTAGCATTTATTGATAAAATACCAGTAGCACACAAGGTCCAAATCAGGACCTAATGAGTTTAGACTCTGTAAAACCAAAGAACAAGAATGGTGGTCTGAGCTTCTCTGGGTATGGCAACATTTCTGGTCAGCGAGAAAGGGAATGCACTTGGTTGACAGTTGATTGCAGTGAATTGTGGAAGCAGCTGAACTTAGCTGTAAATGAGCAGGCTCAGCTATCAGAGGAAGACCAGCCATGCACGTGTTAGTTATCCACCTGAAAAATTGTTTTCATAAATGTTAGTCTATGATTTGCCCCTCGATGTTGGAATTAGGCTGCTGCCATACCCCAGCTAGCTCACTTAGATCTTTGCTGCATGGCATTCTGCACCCTATTATCATTCGTCCTATGAGAAGACACAAGTCCAGCTAAGGCAGGAGGTGGCTGATCGTGCCAAGCTGCCAGGTAGCAAACAGGGAGCTGCTGGGAAGGCACAGTGGACCTGGAGGGTCCACATTGTTTGCTGAGGGTGCCCTGAAACACCTTTGATTTGAAAGTAAGCCCTGTAGTAATGCTGTAGTCAGTCTGGGGCAGGAATTAAGTTCACTGTGCCTGCTGGAGAGAGACAATTTCCATGAAAAGAATGCATTCTTCCCCCACAGCTTTCATTGCTTTATGAGCTTATAAGGGCCTTAATTTGGGGCTGTTTTAAAGAGTAACTCAAGTTTAATATGGGCTGTAGCTTTCCACGAATCTGGTGATTTCTCGCTCAGCTTTTACACAAGCAAATCATCTGTCTCTTAGTTAGGATCAACATAAAATAAAATGAATGTCTAATAGAAGCAGGTTATGAATTTTGATCAAGACAGCATATTTCTCTTACACTGCTTTAATTTATAAATGTTGTAGGTAATTACACTTACTAAAGTAAAATAAAAATTAAAATTTATGAATTTGTACTGTGCTCATAGCAATGAAGAGATTAAAAATCAGTGCTAAATTTACTTTGACGTGAATACTGATTCAGTACTCCCAGTGGGGTGAATTCTGAATTATACTGAATATTGTCAGCATTTCATTATACCAAGCTCACTACGAGGGAGTGAGAGCTGATATCAGGAATGATTTCACAGACAGCCTTTTATAAAGGCCCTTTAAAAAAAAGGAGGAATGAAAATCTATCAAAAACATTTTTATATCAGTCTTGTTTATTTTTCTTCTCTTGAGTTTATATCTCCTGAAAATATTAATAATTCAGACTGTTTTGCCAAAGTTAGAAAATCGTGAAGTCTTTGCTATCGGATGTAACAATGCATAACCCAGGTTCAGTTCTGGCATGTTTCATTGGGGCACTGTGCGTTTCAGTGGGCTTCTGTCCATTTTGTGCAGTAGAGAAACTGGCTCTGTGTCCTTCTAAAGGAAGATCCAAACTTTCCAAAGAGACCACTGTACGGTATGCCTCTCCATGCAGAATTGCAGTCCTCATGAACCATCCCTGAGGAAAGTGGGCCATTTTGCTCATGTTACATAGGATTTCAGTCTGCTGCAGTTGCTCATTCTCGATGTAAAGCTTTTGCCACAAGTTGCATTCCTACTTTACTTGCATTTAGGCTGTTCTGCTGGCCATAAGCACCTCTTGCTGGCTTGTGGGACAAAACCAGTGAGATAGTTAATGTATTTACAGCTGACTATCTAAAGTCGGGTACATTAGAGGCTCATAAACCCAAGCTGTAGCTAAAGCGGGTGGGTGGTTGGCTTGGGGAGTTCAACCCTGGCCCTGGAAAACCAAACAGGTTCCAGTACCCCTTGGTGCCAGATGTCAAAACAAGCTGTCACCAAGAAGAAAGGCCTAAGACAAATCCAAGGCTCCAGAAAAGAGAATACTTAACTCCCTACTGGTAGTTCTGTGACACTTAATCAGTACTTTCACGTTGCTTTGCAGTCCACATGTGAAATGAAATGTATTATTAAATTACAGTTTCCCTATTGATTTTGTCAGTCTTTTGTGTAGCATCTTCCTCACTGTTTATGTTTCTAATGCATTGTGCAAAGCATAATGCAGAGCTTGTTTCAAAATGATGCTAACGAAAACATTGCACAAATGATAGGATATAGAACTGTTAGTTCTCCAACATGCTAGAAAAGACCATCTAGACAAAGAACTGCATACTTGACTACTATGAAGATCATTTCACTTTCGGTAGAAATTTGAACACTAATTGCCTTAATTTTGTCATTCAAAAAGAAGAAAGGATCCACAGTTTTCCAGTGTTTATATTCCTTGATAAAAGAGATTATAAACTGGCACAGTGTTTGAATTTTTCTGCAGTAGGAATTGGTGGCTGACTTCCACTGCGGAGTGCTGGGACACAGAGGCACAAGTCATATAGAAAAACGCTACGAGCGCTCCAGGGTCCTCGTTTGGTATTTGACAGCTTTTGCATTGACACCAGTGAGCGAAGAACAAGTCCCTGGGAGGGAAATCTTGCTTCAGCTGAAGTCGGTGGAACTTTGTCCTGTATCTACAACAGACCAGCATTTGGTCTTTGCCTACAATGGAGTGCAAGTAGAGCATGACAGTTCCTAAATATGTAGCGCCTGAGCTCAAGTCCATCTGCCCAAGCTGGATAGACTGGAAGTAATTACTGTATGTGTATTTTTTAGTCATTTGAAGCTAAAATCACCTAGACTTCAAAGAGACTATGATTTAGCACTGAATGTGGGAAAACCTAAAATATAACAGCTGAATGTAGCTAAAAGTAGCTGTCTTTTATTATGAAATATAAGTGACAGAAGTTTCTTCCATGTTTATCAGATTCCCTGCACTCTTATTATTTTTATTTACCTTCTTTTAATTTTTTTTTATTTTTTCCATTAGTGCTTAATAGCAAGAGCAAATATTTTAGTAAAAGCCATGCCCATAGTGTCTGTTTCAGACTTCATTTTGCATACTCAGATAGAAATTCATTTTCCCCTCCCATGTTTTTCATATTTTCAGCTTGGTTAGAAACTTATTTACATTTGGTTTTTTATAAATGAAAATGCTGACTCCCACAGAGAAATTTCTCCACTTGATATAAGCACTCACACTATAAAACTTAAGTAATGCAGAAAAAAGCCCTGATAGAGCTGGTAGGAGAGAAAAGGCACAGTGTTCAGCTGAATTCTAGTGATGTAATTTAGCCTCTGAAATCTGTTGCTTTTGCTGAACTGCTCAGGATGACCCACTGCAATTCACTGAATTAACAGAGCCCCACAAGTGAATTGTGCCTTTATGTTAAAACACCGCTTCCCTTGTGTTACACTGTCTTTAATGCTCTAGGATTGTACCTTCCCTGTTGCAACTTAAAGGAAAAAGGTCCCACGACTTAAAAAAATACAGTAAAATGGCTTTGCATAGTTGGAAGGACAGGGTGTGTGGTGTTTCATCCCCTGTCCCTCCCTGTCCTTATTTGCATACAACAAGAAATGAAATAAGGTATGGTCTGGCTAAGTGATTTGTCGAAGTTCATAAAGGAGAATAACAAATGAAGAACTGCGCTTCGGTCTTCTAAGTTTCAGCTTAGTGATTTCTTCATAAGTCTTCAATTCTTCAAGAGTCTGTTTTAGGCCCTTCTCTAATTAGGATGTGATTAAAAATGTATTTCTGTAGTCTCTAAAGGGAAGAAATTGGAGATGGATTCATATTCTAAAATTCCAGCCCAAACATCAGAAACTGAGAAGTGTTGATATCCAGGCTGCCTGCAAAAATGATATTATAGCAGTTGTATGTACACACTGTGTTATTTTTAATTCATTTTAATTCCTTTCCTTAGGATAAATGACAATTGCGCTATCTCTCTGGCTGTCAATAGTACATGACACCATGGTAATTCTATCTGCTTAGCAGTTATTTTAGCCTCTGTTCACTCCAGAGATTACACATTTGGTTTCTTCAGAAAAATACAGCCAACGTGGCTTATTCATTATAACTTCCCCTCTGCTGCCTCCTCTGCTGAACGACAGAGTAAAGGCTGAGAAGAGGGAGTTTGATTTCTTACTCTTACAGCCCTGGCTGTAAAAGCTCTGGCGCGCATGTGGAAAAGAGAGAGCAAGAGCGCGGCAGAGAGTGCACAGGTGGCTGCTGAGGCTGAAAGGAAGACGTGGGAATCCTGCCTGCTATTGAGGATGAACAGTCCTCACACTCTCTAAAAAGCCACTTGTTGCTAGTGCATAACCCTCGCGTGTGATGTAGTTCTTTCATTCTCACCACCCTTTCTCATTCCTTCCACTTCTTAAAAGATACATTTCTATTTGAGGAATGAATTACGACTATATTGTTTTGTCTCATGTCATTATGTCACCCTGCGGTGGTTTAAGGCTGGTGGGTCAGTGGCAGATCCCGACGTGCGTGCAGCGGAGCAGGACTTTTCTGTCTGAGGTCTCAAGGTCAGCTATTTCTTTAACAGGGAGGCGGGCAGCACAGAGCCCAGCTCATCAGAGATCAGTATTTTGTCATAAGGTTAGCAGGATTGAGTTCTTATTTTCCCAAGTATAGTAAATATCTAATACTGGTTGTAATACAGCTTTGGTCTAATTAAATGAAGCCCTGTTTGCATAAGTAAAACCAGGTTAGTTCACACAGGCAGTGTCTGGACTGTCTTAGATGATGATCACGTGGGGAGAACGCCAGGTCTCAGACCAAGTGGTGCAAAATGGCTCATGTCCACCCTGCTCAGGCATAACGCTGCAAAATAAGAAGGTCAGATGGATATCAAGGAGAGGTTATTGTGTTTACCGTCACCTGGCATACTGTGGTAAAAGCCATCTGTATTTTCTCCGCTGTCTCTGTGGGGCAGGTAAGCCACAAGCCACATTAGTTACCCAGTTTCAAGGACATACCTTTTTGGCAGTGAAGACAGCTGGCTCAGTGCCTCCAGCAGAAAGGAGGAACAGGATATGCTTAGTCATTTCTTCCATATTATGAGACTGATTCTTCTTGCTTAGAAACTGAAAAATTTTTTTTTTTTTCAGTGGGAACAGAATCAAACTCTGTAAATGCATCTTAGTAGAAAAATCTATGAAAGCAGTGGGTTGCATGAAAACCAGCCTGGAAGAGCGAAAATAAAGAATGAGGAAGGGAGAATTTATATATGATAGATATAGATGTTGTTTCTGTAACAGTTGTTTTGGAACTGTTCTGGAAAATTGCTCTTTTTTTCTTTTCTTTTTTCTTTCTGCTGGGAACTGGGAAAAAAAAAAATCCAATGTTTTAACCAGACAGAAGAACTGTAACAGTAGTGACTAGTGTCATCAATGACTGCCAGAAAAATACCCCCCATTATTTGTTACTCAAGCATAAATTTCCCACTGAAATTCAGATTGATGACAATTAGAAAACAAAAACTCTCACTGTCAGTGTACAGGCAGGAAAGAAAATGAGCACTGCGTGTCAGACCACTTTCTTCCATCACACTGCTTATCTGTGCTTTCTAATTTTGCCCCTGATTTAAGCACACAATAGGTTCTTTTTATGTATTAGTTCATGTATACTGCAATATTTTACAGCTGTACTTCTGCTGAGTTGTTAGCTAAAAAATCAAAATTTCTGGCCTTTTTTAGGTCCTCAGTCAACTGATCGTAAGGCTGGAGTACAATTAGTCATATCCTACGAGAGCACCCGTCTGACAATAATGTTGAAACACATGAGGAACATTGTGAGTATCTTTATCATAATCTATAACTCGTAAGTCCTTGCATTTGCAGAGTACTGTGAAAATATTAATCCTTAAACACACTTTCTGGGATAACTAATTTTAGCTCAAAATAATGATGATGCTGTTCTGTCATCATTTAACACTTGCTTTCTTCCTTTGAGCTCGCTCAATAAGGCTACAAGTATGGGACAGATACAGAAACTGGGTTTCTGTAATGGCTGGTAATGACCTTTTCCCGACCATATAGAAAACCAATTTTGGTGACTGTTTTGGCCCTTTCAGATGACACATTTTTATACTAGCCAGACATAAGGCATCATGCAGCAGCATGTCTTTTTGTAGGATGTCAGCCTGGCATTATTGATTGATTAACCGTACATCTCTCTTGAGTCCAGGATGACTGGTCTATGAACAGGGAAGAGCTCGGCAGAGGGAGTAGTGGTGTATTTTAAGAAACAATGTCATTTGATGGGGTGATGCTCAGCTTTGCAACATGCTCTCTATCACGAGGCTAAGTGGTAAATGCTGTGCGTTGCTGGGGACAGACTATGAGAGGGGGAAGCTGGCAGTGTTCCCGCAGCACAAGACAGGTGAAATTGGCTGACGAGGATATCTGGAGAGATCTAGCTGGTGCCCAGTGCGATCTCTCGGCCAAAGTAGCGTGTCTGCTGTTTCATAATGAGCTTGGCCACCTAGACGTGCTCTTGAATTCTCAATTGCTCACATTTCAAGTGATGGCTGTGGCAAAGAGATCCTTCACTACCTTTTTTTAGCTAGGAGATTAAAGCATTTATTAACTGTTGCGAGTTCTCATTGCATGCGCTGATGCTGCCTCCATCCCAAACTGGATCGCAATCGCTATCCCTAAATGGGACCAAACTGGGAAGCTCTGGCTTCTGATTTGCAATTCAAGCGTGTTCATTTTGGTCTATAACATCCCACAAGTCCCTGTCCTGAGAGACTTGTCTTTTGTTTCCTGTGTGCCACCTTGACAGGTGAAATCAGCCTCCACTGACAGGTCCGATTTATATGAACTTTACCTTCAGGGTACAGTACAAGACTCTTTTTCTTTTCTCTGTTGGGCTTTTTAAAGCTGAGTGACTTTGATAAACTTCTGGTAAGGTCCTAGTTGGTGGGAGGGGTATATTTAAGTGATTTCTGTGCTGGTGATGCCACTGTGAGTTCAGGCAGGTGATATGGAGTTGCACACAAACAGAGCTACAGATGTTGGAAACAGTCTTTCTCCTTGTTTCCATCATTTTTAGCGTACAGGCTCCTAACAGTGTTCTTTGACTTAGAAAGTTCCAGCCATTTAATTAAATGAAAGTAAATTACAGCATAGATAGCCGTGTACAGCAAAAATAAAATGCAAGGTTCAGTTCACTTCCTTATGGAAAGGGATAATACAACTTTAAGTTATTGCCTTGCTTTTGAAAGTAGGTGACTTAAATTCATTTTTGTGAGTTTGCAGAGAAGTTGTAGGAGTCCAATTCAGTGAGATTAGCAATGATTCATGACTTGAAAATAAGGTCATTGTTTTAGCAGCCTAACTTAGGCAATCATGTTTTTAAATCCTGGGCTTCCAATTCCTTCCTTCCATCATCCATTCATTCATCGTCATCTGATCAGAAAAATGAAATAGTAGAGTTTTGGGGTACTGTGATACTGGACTGTCTTCAGACTAGTAACCTGTAACAGAAAAGTTCTTTGTCCCATTAATAATCTTCTCAGCTTTCCAGTCACATAGATCAATCTCTCTGACTTGCTCTCTTTTCTTTTTCCTTTCATTTGCCTTTTTTTTTTTGTCTTTTTTTTTTTTTTTTTTTTTCCGGTTGAGCTGAACAGGGATTTTAAAAGCGTGCCAAGATCATATCTTATTCAAGACATGTTAAAGCTATTTCAGGTATATTCAGACTTTTGCAGAGTCTCACTAATTACATTTTAGTGACTCATCTGTGCGGTGGTTATTTGCTATCTTGTTTTATTTCATAATTTATAGTAAATAATTTTTGTGCTGCTCTTCCACGTTTAATTTATCTCTTTATAGAGATTTTATGGGGTGAAAATAATTGTAGTGGGCCAAATTAATCCCAAATGTAGCTTCAGAGAACTGACAGGAATTGTGGTAGAGACTTTTGGTCCATGTAAATAAATTTTATTTATGATTTGTATGGGTTTAATTCTAGCGGTTTTAATAGGAGATCTAGATCCTGTGCAAATCCTATATTAATATACAATGTGCAAGAAAATCGCTAAGGAAATGGTGTTTATAGCCATTGTCAAGTGTCACTTAGGTTTTTTAAAGGGCGAAGTCAAAATAGTGCAATGCTGTAGCAGTGCAGGTTTTTTTTCATGAAGCTAACCCCCTTCATGTGGGATGTCACAGACAAAAAGAGCTATAGCAGTTGAGAGAGCATTGGTCTGGTGCATACATGTGGGTGCATGCGTGTGGGTGCTTGCATGGACTCCACAGTGCAGGAACTTTTGATCTGGTGTATCCACATGTGCCAAATTTACTACAGACGTACAAGTCAGTTATCCCTAGATCTGCTTCAGAATGTCCTTTCCCTTTTTCTTTCATCAACATTTCAGTCATGTGTTACGAAAGTCAATCCTGCTTGAAGAAAATTCTATCAAAAATGCTTCAAAGACCAACAATGGAGAACAGCCTTATAGATTTTGTGTCTGGAAAGGACTGTTAATCTAATCTAACCTCATGTAAAGCACAAGCTATATTTTTTCACTGAAAAAACGCTTGCATCTAGACCAGCAATGCAGATAGGGAAACTGAACAGAGAGGTGTAAGACTGGTTGCAAATGTTTGTCTGCAGTTTAAGACTGTGAGTGCGCAAGGAAGACAAGTTCTGTTAAATAGCTCTTTAGAAGATACTAACAATGCTTCAGTCTCAAGATTTTCCTCAGCAATTTATAGTTTTATTTGAACCCTGAGATTCTGTTAGTCAGGTGACTCCCATCAGACCCACTGCTTCCTCTTATGGTTTGAATGACATCACTATGACTGCTAGGGAAAAAAAACCCAACACCTTTAAATCCAATTTTCAAACATACAAAATCCATGATGCTAATAAAATGTAATTTTCCAAACGTATATTACATAATTGTAAGTCAGCCTCTTGGGGCATCACTTGCTTCACCCAAACACAGACAGTGCAACACTGGGAACTTTATACGTAGGGAGTGCATGCAATATTACCTTAATACAGTGAAGCTAAGCTAGAAGGAAACCTTTGTGTAGGGATGAAAATCGGAGAGGTTATATAGAGAGACAGTCTGCCTCTGGAGTCATGGAGGATGTGTCAGCTGGAGGTGTTGAGACAGGGCAGGCTTCTTCTACAAACACAATAGCACAGTACCTGGCAAAGTGCACTAAGTGGTCCTAAGAAGAAGATACAGGAGCTGCAGGGGAGGTTTGTTTTGGCATGTGAAAAGACTTGTTAGCTAAAAACAGAAACAGTTCGGTTGTGGCAGCACAATACCCAGAAATCAGCAGCAGGCAGGGACAGGGGCACAGGGGGAACGTTAGGAAGAAAGCCTGAGTCTACCTTAAAAATGTAGGCTTCTAGATCTACGTAGAAGCTGTGGAGGCGGTTTTACTAAAATTGAAAGACACGTAGGTTTTGAACTTGAAATGCTCAAGTCCAGTTTCATTCATCTGTATTAACTAACACAGAGAATGGGGGATATCAAGACCGTACCAGATCTTACACAGAGCAGACTATGGGCTAGCTCAGTACTGCACACCCAGAAACAGCCAGGCCACCTACTGCTGCGCTGCCGGGCTTGCTTGTCTGTTCAATAAGGCACCAGAGGCAAAAGAAACAGCCATTTCTGAAGTTCAGAAAAGGTTAGCTAATATATTTCTCTTCCTGCTTCACAGAGAACCAGAAGGGAACAGTGGTTCAGTGTTGGCTCAGAAGGAAGTCTGCTTTGTCTGCTGACTTCATTGCCATGACTTCAGGCATGCCCTGTTTTTCTAGATAAGCAGCTAAACTTTCAATCCTCGCTGCTAAACGTTTTTGCCCATTACTTCTTGTGGACAGTGTAACTCCTCAGGGGTAGGGGGGAGGAGAAACAAAGCCAACTTATCCTGAACCTCATGCCAATAAATGTAAAATGTTACTAGAATTCAGGAAAATGTGTGTGGGTGATGAATTCAGAACCAATTTTACAGGGGGAAAATTTGCTGGAAGAAAAATAAACTCCTACAGTACTTTCCAAAACTACTTCCAGCTTTCCTTTTATAAAAGCTCTGAAGCTGTCATGTACCACTCTTGATGATTAATGATTCTGGGATAGCTGATACGTGGGTGACGAATTAGTAATCAGCTTTAGGCTTACACAGACATCCAGCCTCTTTCCATTTCATGTCCTACACCATCCGAGTACAAATTGCTTCCAAAAATGTCTGTGAGACGTGATGGCTTAAATGTGTTGGGAAGAAAGGTGAGAGCCATCTACACCACAGGGATGAAATCTATTTCTAAGCCTGCGGGTGCAGGGCTGTAGGGAAGTTCCCACATACACTACAGGTAGATGCTCCACTGCCTTTGCTGGGGTTTGTCCCTAGTTTGAGGTGGGTAAGGGATGGGGATTTTTGTTCAGTCTTAGTTGGTTCCTGTCATTCCTTTCATGGGCTCACTAACTTTTACAGTTTATGAATATCATTATATAGATTTAAATGGAAAATATATTACCTGCCAGCAACGTAATGCCTGCTGATTAAATAAAAAGCCACATTATCCTTTCAGAATAATATGAATGTATCCTGCTTTCTTTACTGCAGCCCATGGATCAGCCAACAGGGATTGGGAAGAAGTTGCATCGGTAGGCCAAGGCTGGTCAGTCATCCAGGGATGGAAAAGAAGTAGAAAAAATCTCTTTGAGCTGAACAAAAGTTATTCAGAAAGTATCGGTGACAGAATGAAATCAGCAGCTTGGCTGATGAAGGGAGGTAACACATTCAGATGGAGTCCTCCCTA